CTTTTAGTAATCGAATCAACATACTGAAGTTCCATGTTTTCCCTTCCTGGTAACTATCAAGTCCCTCTCAAAGACATCTGAATCCTCTAGTGTGTTCCTTATGCACATAAATATTATTATCTGGTTTTAAAAGTATGAATATAATATTTGAAATAAAAATATGGTTTCTGATCTTTGGTTTATGATATTGGATACATAGCTCTTGATTCTGATATTAATGGTTACTGATTACTATCTATATAATATGATTTTTATTAGAATACTTTATGGGTAGGATTTTGGAGTCTATGAGGTTCAGCTAGCTGGTAATTCCTTACGGACCTTACAGTTTGGAAAAACTACATATTGGTGTTCGGTTGGAGGGAACAATCTCTTAACTCTGTTTTCTTATACAAAAATATTTGCCTATCATTTTTGATGTTACTGATTACTGTTAAATGATTTATATTGGGGTATGTCTGGGTAGTTATTTGGAGTTCTGAGGTTCAACTAGTTGGTAAATCCTATCTATTCTAATAATTTTTATTGGACTCTTATACCCATTGGGTATATGGTAAGTCTTTATAAATGCAGCTGTGGGGAACTGCATTTTGGTGTACGTGTGGAGGGTATTACTGTGTTTTAAAAATCTATTTTACTAAAATAAACTACAAATCCTAGTTTTGTTGGAATACACTAGACTTCCCAACTCCATCTTCTGAATTTGTCTCTCTTAACGTTCTATTTGACTTGTATGTTTCCTTACTGTTACCTGAAGATTTAATTAGTGAGACCTCAACTCTTCATTATGACATGTATATGCCTGAATAACTATGAAAATATCATGCTTCCATATATCGGCTTGTCCTTTTGCTTCATTTGGTAGTTTTGTATTACTAAGATTTCCAAAGCTCACTTTGTCACTCACCATTTCAGGTTAAACAATCGTTCACGTGCAATATCGACACCAGTGTGAGAGTTCTTTAGGTGTTGCTTGCAGAGTATAGTACAGTTGTAATTAGGGGACATGTAGGTCTCATTTTGTATATATATCGGAGTCTGTAACTTGTTTTGAAATTGTGTGTGATTGAATTTTGATTTTAATTTGTGAATGTTTTTTGAACTAATATAATATATTTATAAATTGTTTTATGATTTGAAATGATTTAACAAAATTTTTAGTTTTTGAATTTTTATCGTGGGTCATTCTGGTGACCCTAATGTGACATCTCAGATCGGTTCGGGCAGTAACATCCTCAATATCGGGTTAGTAACCAAATTGAAATATTTCAGAATTTGTTGGTCAAAGTAAAATAGTTGCATAGTTCAATGATTTTTTTGGGGATATTTCCTGAAAGGTTTTAGTAATTTTTCAAGGAATTAAAGGGCAAAATGGTCAATTGACATTAAAGATATTTTTTATCCCCTTTAATAGTAGATTAAAACGTGGGAAGATGAAAATATTTCTTCTTCTTCCTCCTCCCGTAAGAGCTCAAAGGCAAAGGTAAATTTCTTCTTTAGTTGATTATTTGTTCAATTAAAGGTTGGTTTTTGATCATTAGATGATAATTAAGCTTAAGGAAAGCTTAATTTGTTCTAAAACAAAAAGATGAAAGGTATATGAGAGATTAAAGATTTTGTGTTCTTGAATGAAATATTGAAATAGAGTTGATAAGTTGAATTTGACTTGTCATCGATGAGAATAAGAAGATAGAAGTGATAGAATTGAAATTAGAACATGTTGAAAATTTGGTATGATTAATGATTTCTATATGGTGAATAGAATTTTGAGGTTTAAGATGAAATAAATGGATATAAATTAGTTAAAGTATGTATATTTGAGTTAAGAATAGAAAAGTGAATGAAACATGAAGAATTTAAGTTGTTATAGTGATTTTTCATGCATGAATAGTGATTTTCTGGGATTGAACAAAAATTTCATATTGTGCAGGGGGTACAGATTCCCCCTGGGGGGTATCGATTCCCCCTAAATGAAAAATGAATTTTGGTTCATTAAACCGGCTTAAGTTATCAACATCAAGTTTAAGGTTTAGGCTTCTGATAGTTGTTTTGAAATGTTATATTTATGTAGATATAGAGCCTAAACGAGTTCTGGAACAATCAAAGAATTAGGATCGAATCAAAGCAAGACTAAGGTGAGTGCAATTTAATTATACGTATGTTATTAAACATACATTAGCTTGCGATGAGCCAGTGGCGGAGTTACTATGGTAAGAAGTGACTCCTAAAATGTTATATAGTTGATGGAATTCTTATATGTGCATGAGTACATGAAAATAGGTATATATTATTGTATGTGATTAAAAGACCAATAAAATGAATACATGTATATGTCTATAAAGTAAGTGCATTTCTACATGTGATTTATGTGAATACATGTATCTATGAATATGTTTGGTATTATTACATGATCATAAGATATAAACAATTTGATAAGTGATATGTGAATATATGAAATTATGAGACAAGTGAGTAAGTGCTTAAGAAATATAAGCAATGAGATAGAGGACATTTGAATCAAATGGAAATGATTTATGCATAAGTTTATATGTTATTATATGTGCTATGTGATGTATATATGAACAAGAGGTGACATATGTGCTTATATAAAAACATGAGAAACGATATAAGTCATATGAAACTATCTACGTGAATACATGCACTTGTGATACATGTGATATGATATGAGATATACGGTTACACATACATGTGGTATGTGACAGAAGAGAAAGAACAAGTGATATGAATATGTGAAATGATAAATAAAAATGCTCATGTTATATAATACGAGAGTTATAGGTATAGTTTGGCATGCCAAGAGTCGAGGGTCTACGTGGTCCTACGGGACAATTCTACGTGGTCCTTCGGGACATATATGTAATTCCGTGGAACATGTATGTTGTACTTCAGTACAATTATTTGGTCCATTGTATTATGTATATGGTTCTTAAGGACTGGTCCTTCGGGACATATATGATATGTGGTCTTTCGGGACATTTCTACGCGGTCCTTCGGGACAAATATTCAATGCCCCTAGTGGGAATTTATACGAGCTGTGGTGACAACATTAGTGCACAACCTCAATGTACTCACATACCTTCAGTTCTCACCAGTGTACCATGGGCTAATAAAGAGATAATATCAAATACAATATATATATGATGTATATGTTTGTTTTTATGATATGAAATGCATTATATGAATTATACGATGTTATGTGTGTTTTGTTATGAAATGATATATGTGTTCCATGATGTATATGGAAATGTTCAACATATGCTTATATGATAAAAAGGAATTAGTGATAATAATATGATTACTGATAAACATGTTCATGATAAATGTATATGTGTGCATTGGTTATACAATGGGAGATATGCTTTTATATGATATGATAGTATATGCAGATGTATGTTTTTGTTTATATGAAATGATATATGATTATAGTATATGTTTTATATGCCTCACTAAGTCATCGACTTAGCGTGTGATTGTTTCACGCGTAGGTTCCGAGAAGAGGAAGATTGATAAAAGTTATGCAAGACAGGTCAGTTCTTCCTTTCCAAAGATCAGATCAGAAAAGAAATGTATAGTATGTATTTTGTAATAAGGATAGTGGTTGGCATGTAAATAAAGGATTAAATCCGATATGTTATAATCGGTTTTGTAAAATCATATGATTGAATTTGGTAATGTTTTAAATATGTATATGTAAATGGTAATTTTATACGAATGAAACCTCATATTTTTTTTATAAATTTATAAGTATTTTATTGAAGTATTGTAGTAGTACTGTAGTAGGGTATCGATTCCCTGTAGCAGGGTATTGATTCCCTATAGCAGGGGAATCGGTTCCCCTCTTTGAATCTGAAAAATTTAACATTCGGGTACTGTAGTAGGTATTATTCATCACTGGTTCTTACTGTTCATACGATACTATTCATACGTATTTTACTGTTCATAAATACGTTTTTGATTAGAAATTTTATACTAAACACAATTTAATAGAATATTGTGGTATTTTCCTAAAATGAGTTCAAATGTTTTGATATTTTGTAAGAAAAAGGTTTTGAAAAGTCAATGTGACATCTCGGACTCGTATTCGGGTCGGATACGGGTTGGGGTGTTACACGGGCCACACGTATAAAATTGGGGGTGTTATAGAGGGACTAAACAAAACAATATCTTATAGTGTAAAATTATTTTATAACTTTTAATAGTCAAAATATTCAATAAAACAATGTCATATAATCGAGAATTTTTACTTAACCTTTAATAGTGATAAAATATAAAAGGTATTGATACTCACCCTGATATTAATTTTTTTTATCAATACTCGACTATGATATTAATTTTTTTTATTAAATTCAACCTAATGATATTAATAATTTTAAATTAAATTAATACTTGGTAATGCATCATTCAATTATGGTATCAATACTTGCATCTCGTTATTGATATCAAGGGATCAATATTCTTGAAATAAGTACCGATACTCTAAAAAAAGTTTAATTCAACTTTTAACTATATTATCATACTATAGTTATTGTATGAAACGATATTTGAACATCTCCAATGGCTATTATACATCATAAAATTTTTCTTTTTTATTTTATTTTGTATCACGTTACATTGTCTGATTTAGATTTAATTCTTGAAGATTACCCACTTTTTTTTATTTATATTCCATTGTCAAATATTAAAAGTACAAATAAAACTGAATATATGAAGTATGTATAAGATAGAAACATGAGAAATTACAACTTTTTTTTGGCGTAGGAAAGAATAATAAACTGTTTTATTCCAGTGCCATAGATATACACCAGCTCAATCTTTACAATCGTCCGATCTCACGAATGAAACCACATGTCAGCCCACCCAAATAATAAACCATCAAGACCCAAAATAATGGAATCATAATTCAAAACAACAACAATGCATAACAAATAAATTAAAAACAAAATAAATAAATAAAAAGAGAGAGAAAAGAAAATCTAAGACAAATGAAAAAGAAGAGCAAGAAAACTTGACCCTCGACAAGCATGACCGAAAATCCCATGAACAGCCCCCAAAAAAGCAGGAACTCACTTTCTTAAGCCAGAAGGGCGGCGAAGAAAGTAGCAGCGACGGTTCCAACGACGAAGACACCGTTGTTGGAGGCGGCGGAGGGGGGAGGGCCTTGGTCAGCCGAGGGCCCGGAAGTCGGTGCAGTTGATCCCTGTGGGGTGAATGCTGTAGGAGGGGAGGAGATGGAAGGAGAAGGTGAAGAAGCGGATGGAGCAGGCGAAGGGGAAGTGGTGGGAGATGGGGTGGGGACAGTTGAAGGAGCTGGCGAAGGTGTTCGGGACGGTGTCGGAGCGGGTGTCGGAGTCGCCGCAGGCGGTGGTGAGGATCTCGGAGGAGCAGTAGGCGGAGATGTTGGCGCCTGAGCCATGCAAGCGGTGGCCAAGAGACCCAACATCATAAAAACCTTAAACATTGTAGAACTCATATTGCAAAAAGGAAAAAGAAACTTAAAAAAGCCTTGAAAATAAAGGAGAGAAGTTTATAGCTTTGGGAGTGAGGGAACTGGGAAGGGCCGAAGGGAATATATATATATCAAACGTAGAAGATGAGAGACAGATATGAATATTAATAAAAATGAAACCAATAATGTAAAAATATTCTTTGTAAAATTATGCATAAAGCAACACATATTTATACATGCAAGCACATCATGGTCTTTAGCTTAGCTGGTTTCTGAATAGTTTCCTCTTCTTTTCTTTGAAGTTCCTTCAAGCCGTAAAATCTTACTTAGCCATAAGGACTATGATTTTGATGCGGTAAATCTCTACATTTTGGATTGGAAAAAATCTAAATTTGTATTTAGTGCGCCGATTAAGGTAATTACAAAAATGAAAATACACGAATATTAGCATCCGTCTGCCGGTTGTTTAGTTGGTAAAACGTCACTTTCTTACGAATATTTTTTGGGGAAAAGCCAATTTTGGTAGCCTTCTTTCCTTAACAGGCTCTTCCACCGCGTTATACTTTTCAACAGCTTCCCTAAAATAGTCCTTGATATTACTCTACTACCCTCCCTTCTAGATCCAAAATAGTCGTCGCTTGGACACGTGTCGCTACACTAGTGGCTGTTTAAAGTCATTTTTATATTGTTTTTAATAGGGTAAAGTACACAAACGGTCCCGATTATAGAGTATTATTTTGTTCAGTCATTCGACTATTAAAAGTTATAAAATAATCTCTCGATTATAGAATGTTATTTTATTGAGTCATCCTACTATTAAAAGTTTGAAAATGGTCATTTAACTATTCATATATTCCAAACTCATCGTTTTTCATTAAAACAATTGGCGGTTCTCTAAGCTAGGCAATAGTATGATAACTGAGATATGATAAAATTATATTTTAATCATGTTTATAGCACCGTCGTTGCTTTCAAACACTGTCTTGATGGCATAATATTTCAAAAACTGGTTCGACGTCATAATATAGACGAAGAGTCAATCCACAAAATACAGCTCAAACGATTCGATGGTTAAATTTTATCATCTCCCAATCAACAGTTAATGTTCAACTTAGACTATCACTATGTTTCTAACAATAATGATGAATTTGGAATAATTGAATATTCAAATAACGATTTCGTAACTTTTAATAGTAAAGAGACTCAACAAAACAACATACTATAATTGAAGGACTATTTTATAATTTTAATAGTTAAGAGATTCATTAAAGCAATCCCTAGTTGGAGGATTACTTGTGTACTTTATCATTTTTAATAATATAAGTTTGTAACTAAAAGTTAAGAAATTTTTTAATGCACCGTACAAATTATAAAACTTCAAACGATTTGATGGAGTCTAATCCTTGGTTTCAGTACAAGTGTCAAAGTCACTGCGGCCATGATTTTCACTTAAATTATTTTTTTAATTGTTATATAATAAAAGCATAAAAAACTGTTAAAAATCAATTCTAGAATCTGATGTTAATATGATTAAGAAAGCCTTATTTTATATCAATCAAAGGTATACTATGCATTAAAAGGGTTTAAAATGTTGAGATTAAGACGTTTAATGTTTAAAATTACCACAGTTAAAAGTTAAAAAGTTTATTATATACAATTTGAAGAATAATTTAGTCAAAAACACGTTCTCCAACTCGAACTAGAAGGGAAGTGACCGTTTTGGTGGAGATAATTGAGGAGAGAGGAAGACCAAAAAAGTTAAAAATTAAAATAACGTGTTCCAATTTGTGCGCCAAACTGTGCATTGACTTCTTATCTTGCGCTACCACAACGTGGAAGGGAATGCAGAAAAACAAATCGTGGAAGGTTTTAGAGGGAGTTTGATATAAACACGGCGATGTGTTTCAAGAAACCGTGTTACTGGCTTTGTTTTGACGACAAGTGTGTTTGCTTGGCTACAGTGGACACGTGGTAAGCTTGGAAGATGTTGTATGGAATAAATAGGATCAACCTAGGAGAAAGAGTAAAAGTAATCGATTAATTGTATCTTAAAATTTAAAATTATTATATATTTTATTTATATATATATATTTATTAAAAAATTATTTTTATTGATCTAAAATTTTATAAATTTATTTTTTTTCAAAAAATTCATTGGTTAATATAAAATTTTATATCTCACCCTAAGGTTAAACTTTGATGAGGATTACTAGTTTAAAAACCTCCAAAAATTATTTTTTGGAATAATACCTCAAATAAGATTATTTGGAAAAATACCCTTAAACTGCACACATAAGACTACCTCGTGTCCTACAACAGGCGTGTAAAGGCATCGCGTTATATAGGGCGTAAGTCTCCTCTAACGTGGAAACAATTTTCAGAGAATGCAATTTAATATTTCAATTAATGACCTCACATTCTGCGTGATGCTAGGTTCTAGAGATATTGAAACGTTTTGGAAATTTATCGAGTGTGATATTTAACATACCTAGCGTTATACATAACGTGAGGTATGTAGTTTTCCAGCCAAAATCGCAAGTGTTTATAAGCATGTTTGAGGGGTATTTTCGGGTAGTTAATCTTATTTTTAAATTTATAAGATTAGAAGCGTAGTAATGGAATTTATCTTTTATTTGAAGCCAATATCGACACATACGAGATACTATAAGCGGGTTAAAAATCGCATTAAAAATGGTTTCAAAGCTTGTTTTGTGCATGAGGAAAATGCTAAAATCGTTTGATAGACATATTCAAGGGGTTTTTTTTTGGGTAGTTAATATGAAAATTTTTGTAATTTATAAGATTAGAGGCGTAGTATTCTAACTTATCTTTCAATTTAGGGTAATATTGGCATAAACGAGACATTGTAAGCGGGGTAAAAATCACGTTCAAAATGGTTTCAAAGCTTGGTTTTCTACATGAAGAAGAAGCTAATATGGCTTGATAGGCATGCTCGAGGAGTATTTTCGGGAAGTTAGTCTGAAAATTTTCATCATTATAAGATTAAAGGCATAGTATTGATACTTATGTTTCAATTAAGGCTAGTATCAGCACATACGATGCATTCTAAGTAGTGTAAAAATCGCGTTCAAAATGGTTCGAAACCAAAAAAATGGAAAACGAACGAATATATTTTGTTAATTACAAAAGTAGTACATAATTTTGGCTCTCATGTTATATCTCTATGTTCGACTAAATCCTCATCACAATAAATCCTAGTCACATAATTAAAATAATAATATAATAAATATAAAACCAAAAATTAAAATAACATAAATCTCAATAGTAGAAAATATAATTAAATAAATATGATACATAAATTGCAAATTAAACAATATTTTCCACTGTGTTTGATCCTAGTTTTGATGGAACGAGAAGTTTTTTGAATCTCTATGTATGAGGGAAACCCTAGGTTCTAGAGTGGATGTGTGTCATTTGTTAGGCCAGTGTCACCACAAGAGTATGTTACCAGAAGAGGATGTCTTTTTAGAAGTTTCTCGAGTGGATTTGATGGAATGAGAAGTTTCCTGAATTTCATGTACAAGGGAAGCCCTGGGTTCTCAAATGGAGGTGTGTCATTTGTCATATCAGCGTAACAAGTGATAAGAAGATGATGCCTTTTTAGAAACAACAAGTTTCTCGAGAAAGTCATATTACTCGTGTTGAAGAAGGTTCATGAGACAGACGAGTTTTGATGGAGAGTGATTGGGCATAAAAACGAAGTTCAAAAACCACGTCCACGACTACAACAATAGCTTTTCCCCTCCAATTACTTGTTTATTTGGATCTACGACTGGTTTGATGGAAGAAGAGGATGCCACCAAAAGAGGGTGTCTTTTTAGAAACGATAAATTCCTCGAGAAGGCTAGTTTGCTAGTGTTGAAAAGACTAACGAGTTTGATGGAGAGTAAATCAGGTATAAAAACAAAATTCGAAAATCATGCCCATGACCTCCAATGACATTTTTGTTTAAATTAACGATCGGTTTGATGGAAGAAGATGATGCTATTAGAAGAAGATTCCTTTTAAGGGCGTTATTAAATGAAAAATTCTCATGTTCATGTGAAAGGTGGTTTTGATTAAACAAAAAGTTTCTCGAGAAGATTATGTTTAACGGAAGAAATGTGAAAGATTTACTCATAACCTTTAAAAGGCCATGCCCTTATAAAAGACATCCTCTTGAAGTGGTATAACTTATATCACCGATATTGACATAATGATCTCTAAGTTTCATGCCAAGTCATGTCACCAGAAGAGGAGCCCCGTATAAGTAGATACCCTATGTTATAATTTAGAATGCCCCCAGAAGATTATGCCTTATATAGGCAAGGACCTTACGCTCTGTAAAACATATTTTTCATTGAGATTCCTGACGTGGTAGAGACATCACATTTTGTATAACGCAAAGTCCGCAGAGATTCCTGACATGGCAGTACCATTGAGATTCCTGACTTGGTAGGAACCTCGCATTTTGTAGAACGCGAGGTAGACAGAGATTCCTGACATGGCAACACCCCTAGCGTACATAGTTTATTTGAAATGTCAATGGCCTCACGTTATGGAAGGCATGATATTCGATAATAAAAATATATATAAATACGAATGATAACCATATTGGATGGATAGCTTTGTAAAAAAATTAATGGCAAGATTTGCAATTTTGTTCTATTTCGGAACTTATTTATACACTTTACTCAATGCCAATATCAAGAAAGATGAGTTATATGATTTGATTTCAATGGAGCTTAAAGAATCTACAACACAACAGATATCTTCGTTGCAAGCGAAAGTTCCCATTTTTTAGCCCACCCCTAAAGCACATTACATGTTGATCTTATAAAATGCAAGTGACATTCGGAAGATGTTTAGGGCTTACACATGTGTCATTGGTATGAACTTCGAGTTGAATGTAAAATTTGAGGAATAAACATCTTCATCAAGTAATACAGAAGCAAGTCGGTTGTCACAATACTAAAAGGACAAAGAGACAGTTTTGCTACGTTACGCTTGTAAACATCGGGATAAAGAGCAAATAATTGAGGAACTAAACTTAACATCAAACATTTCTATAGACTACAAAGAAACGGAAACAAACTCATCTTCTATTCATTTCAACTAACCGAAACTTTGTGTAGTTGTTTTATTTATTATGTTAAATTAGTATTATAATAAATTTCATAAAATATGATAGTTCCCAAAGTACTTATGCATCGAACCAAACAACTAATTATCATATTGTTGAAGGATAACTTAAAGAAACTAATAATTTAAACAAGTTTTAACATTATATTTGATTCAATTCGATGATTTATTTTAAACAAAAAAGCTACATTTTTTTCAAATACTATTTTATTTGTTTTTACTAAAACCCCAAACTACACAGTTTTCACATTTTTTATTTTTATGTTTCATAATTTTTTAATTCATCTCTCGAATTTGTTCGCTACGTTATATTGGTAAGTCCTCATACTTATTCTATATTTCCATCTTTTTATTATGTTCTTCAAGTTTACTCTTATGATCCTCAACTATTGACTTTATTGCCTTATTTACCCACTATTCCTCATCTGAATACAAGCTTGAATCCCAATCGTCAGTGTCAGAGTTGAAAAACCCAAAAAGACTTTGGGACCCTATTTACATGATTTTTAATATCTCAAAGACAATGTGAGGAGATAGAAAGACTTTGGGACCCTATTTACAGAAGTCCTCGCACCCCTACATGCGCATTTTTTAATAGGTTTCATTTTTCATAAAACATGAGATCCACATGGATTTCTGACGTGGATGGATCTCACGTTCTACCACATGCGAGGTCTTTTATTTTGTATTAAAAATATTCGAAACCAAAAGTTAAGTGCAGTACCATATCTATTGTATTTTATTTATCTGGTTAATTAAATATATTTTTACAAGTTCGATTAACTAAAAAAAGAATTGGAGTTCAATTAACTAAAAAATACAATAAGGTTGTTTAAGCATTACATATTTTTCATTTCAAGAAAAAAAACTAATGATGCATATGTTTACCCGTACCACATCGTGGTAGACGACGAGCCCGACAAAGATTCATGCGAATCAATTTATCTTCATCGGCATCACCATCATACAATCGCTACCACTACCACTATCATCATCGCTATCTACATGTGCAATACCACCATTGACACTTGGACTGAGACTGGTGTAGAACATGCTTAATACCACTAACACTTGGACTGTCATATCCGAAGTCTATTGTTAATGATGGTACCTAAAATATTGATGGTGGAACAGATGCAAACGAATATGAAGGATAATTTTGTTAAACTGGCACAAGAATGAAATAGGGAGGGACAACCACTATCGGACAGGAATGAAATGCGTTGGTGAAAAAACCTTCATTCGGAGGTGACATATGTTGAAATGTTGAATGAGTCGAGTGGGTGAATGTATGTGGTGGAACTAGTATTTGATGCTCTGCTACTAACTGTATAGGTGCTTGTGTCATTTTTGCTGACGAGGATGTAATGTGTTTCTTCTTCTCTAACTTGATTCCCTGCCACTTTTAGCACCATGTTGAGTCAACGGACGTTACGTCGGTGGGCGATTTTGGGGAGACATAAATTTCTCATGCTTGCTCCTCTTTAGTCAGTATACGTGGCTTCTCATATTGTTCATACCACAACACGTAATCATTTGAAACATTGTAGTCGAAGATGGGTTGACAAACATGACGCCTATTTAATCTTGTCATCCAGTGTGTCACTCATTCCGCATGATGCATCTCCCAATTAACATCTGTTTTCCCCTGTCACGTTATGTGATGCAAAGCATCCAAGTGTGGTGGTGATAGCAGAATCACTTGAACATAATTAAATTTTCGCAGCATGCGATCAGTAGGATGTCACTCGACTAGCTCATAGACTATCAACGAGACCATTGATATCCAAACACCCGAACTGCGTTATGGGACCATCATCATTATATGACGTCTACAGGAACAACAATCTTTTTAAAACTAAGTTAGATAAGCTCGAATTAAAAAATAATTAGAAAAATGAAATCGAGTAAAATTATTACCTCGTCTGTCATCTTTTCGATCAACAATCTAAAATCACGCAGAGTTCTTAGTAGGTGTGCGTGAGTTAGTATACCAGTCCACATATCACTCATATAACAAAATATAATTATTTGCAAAACCCTAAAAAACATATTATTATCTAAATATATATAAACATTTTATTTTTAATTACCTTCAAAGTAGTGGAAATTCAAATGGGGTCGAGTGTGTAGGAATAGGCTATAAAAAGGGCAATCACAATCAATTCCACGATTGTAACAATATCAAACACCCTCCAATAACTTTTTTATCCAGAACAAAAAGGCCAACACTACCGATCCCCAACTCTTATATTTATAGTCTTACAAAACGTGTAGATGATACAATCATATCAAATACACTTTGTTTCTGGATTTAGCTAGCATCAAGATCCCCCAATAACTCGTAAAATATAAGCACGAGAAAATCACTGCAAAATAAAAATGATGTGAATAAATAAAAAAATTATCGTAAAAATTTTACAATAAAATAAAAAAATTAATATTATAAATAAAAAATAAAAACAAATAAACTTAAATTTAAAAAATTTCTTCCTTAATTACTAGAGTAGTATTGTCGAGTAGCTGCGTAAAATTATCGTCTAAAAATTTAATCTTAATATTCCCTCCATCCATATCACTATTGTTCAGATAAAGTCTGAGCATTTCCTCACACAAGCCGACCCAGTACCTATTGGTAATACTAGTAATAGACGTTCCGTCAATAGGTAACCCAAGATTGAATGCAACATCTTCAAGGGTAATAGTCGACTCCCCATAAGGAAAATGAAACATGCACGTCTCCAGTCTCCACCTTTCTAGATATGCATTTATCAGTGGAGGATGCAACTTCGTACCACCAATTATAGTGCTAGCATAACCAAAACTGGCTTCGTGTAAATACAGAAGAATATCATTATCAGGTTTTGTGAAACGTTTATTATAATACGTCAATGACCGTTCATACCCATTAAAATAAATAAATAAATAAATAAATAAATAAAATTACCTCTAGATTTATCCGTCAATAATTAAATACATGCCTTCGATCAAACCTCAGTAATCCCACCATAGTAATCGAATAATGGAATATATATGAGAAAAAATGAGAAAGATAGATATATATTTTGAGAGTAAGGTGTGATGAATTCGGTTTGGGAGGCCCTATTTATAGGGGTCCTCGCACCCCTTCGAATCGAGTTAAAAGGAAACTCGCATTATATAAAGTGTGAGATATGTTGAAAAGATGTGTATTTAGATGAACCTCGCGTTTTGTAGGATGCGAGGTCATGGAATCTATTTTCTAATTTCAATTTTGTAAGAACTTGATAAATTGTAAATATCTCAGGAACCTCGCTTTACGTAGAAAACGAGATCATTAATTGAAATATAAATTGCATTATCTGAAAAATGTTTACACGCCGGAGGAGATTCACGCCCTATATAACACGAGACCTTTACGCGCCTTTTATAGGATGCGAGATAATCTTTCGTGTGTAGTTTGAGTGTATTTTTTCAAAAAAAAAATCTTATTTGGAGTACTATTCTAAAAGTTTTTTTTGGGGATTTTAAACTAATAACGCCCCTTTGATGAAACCTCCGCTTGAATTGTGATATATAAAAAAAAACCTGTGTTTCGGTCAATAATTTTCTTTGTAAATTAAGATGAATAGGAGCTGAAAAAAAATTGCGGACAAAATGGGGATAATTATTTAATCACATCTACAATGAAATAATTTATTTTGCTTTTAGAAAATAAACAACCTTCAAGAAGAACAATTCAAATAACCCAAAAATAAGAGGACATTTTATTGTATGGTAAAACTGAATGAGTCATATTTAAGCAAGAATATAACGGAAGGTAAAGGGATTTGTCTTTTTTATTATTCCTCCACATAACAATCTTCAAGAAGCATTGAATTTTTCATTTTTTTTTTCAAAATAATTAGTCATCCAAGTGATTTACTCTTCTATACCCCACTGGCAGATTGTTAACCAACACCCAAATCCAGGTGACCCTCTATACCCCAACGTAACCGCGCTTGAGTCATATTCCACAAACACGCCAAGAAAATTCTCAAATTGTAATGTCACCTGCTACCCCACTGGCAGATCGTTAACCAACACCCAAAAGTCAACTTATCCATCGCTACCACCATTGGATTCTCTCCCATTTTCAATAAATATAAAATCAACAAATGAGAATTAAAGTACCACGGACCTTCAGATACTACCCTGATCGCATCAATTTTTTTGTACAACCTGAACAGAAATCTACTCTCCCCCAATTTCGTGACAGCTATTCCCCAAATTGGGTGCCAAACATTAGCCAATGTAATCCTCATAGTCTAAGTTGATCATTCTAGTTGTAAGAAATCGACCCACAAAGCAAAAAATCAAAAGAGATCTGAGCAAAAGTACCCAAATCCCAATAGTAAATGCCTCCTCCTCCTCCTCCTCCTCACCTAATTGGAGATTGTCCAATTCCCTCTCGATCTCCCCCATAGCAAACCGCTTACCCTACTGCGTCTCCACACTCAAAAAATAAAAACTTTAAATGACTCAGAAAACTCAGAAGTACTGTCCAAAACGACAAAGATACTTTATGCCACAAGGCAAAGAAAACCCATACACGGGTTTTTTTCTCTATTATGAAACTTTAAATTTAAACTCAAATTATATTTTATATTTTTAGGATTCATATTATCAAGGATAGAATTTAAATAATCCGTCCAGCTCGTTTTGTAGA